ATGCCGTGAGATGGATTTTGAGGTACATTCTAGGTACGCTCAATGTTGGTTTGGTTTATGAGCGGGACACTACAGGTGGGCAGCTATGCATTGGTTATGTTGATTCGGATTATGCCGGGGATTTGGATAAACGCCAGTCTACTACGGGGTATGTGTTCACTTTGACCCATGTGCCGGTGTGTTGGAGATGCACCTTACAGTCTACGGTGGTTTTGTCTACGACGGAGGCAGAGTATATGGCAGTTACGGAGGCTGTGAAGAAGGCTATTTGGCTTTGAGGACTTTTGGAGGAAGTTGGTATATCGCAGAGGTCCGTCACTATTCATTGTGATAGCATGAGTGCTATCTATTTGGCGAAGAATTAGGTTTTTCATGCGCGGACAAAGCACATTGATGTTCGTTATCACTTCGTTCGAGATGTTCTTGAAGATGGCGATGTGGAGATTGTGAAGGTCCACATGAAGGATAATCCTTTAAAAAAACATTGTTCTGTTCTTTAACTGTACTTATCTCTGAATTGTTCAATAAATATGACCCTATCTAGCTAAACATTCAAATACGAGTTAACGGCTAGTGAGTGCTAGCTATGATCTTTTCATAAGCGTCAGTTTTTTCATTTAACTTCTGTATCCTAACAAAGAAGAGTTACAGGTACTTCTCAAAGAAAAGAGGAAAATGTGGAGAAATCAGAAAAACCAGATTTTCTGGCATAAGTCGACTCATGCACAAGGGTAAGTCGACTTATGGTAAGTCAACTTGACAGTGTGCACAAGTCGACTTACGATCTACGCTGGAATTGTGAATTTTTCCTCTGCCAAGTCGACTTATCAGGTTTGATAAGTCGACTTACGAAGTGTGCTCCAGTTGCTGTTTTTCTCTCTGCCAAGTTGACTTATGCTCTCTGTTAAGTCGACTTACGATGGGTTTTTTGCATAATCAAGTTTCATGTTTGCAGTCGGATTGGGTTTTTGTTTTAATATAAATAGGGAAACGATTTGTTAGGGTTTTTAATCAGAGATTGAGGAATCTTTTGAGCATTGTGAGAGGGAGATATTGTGAGCAATGTGAGATCTTTGGTTGAGGGTTAGTTTGAGAGTTTTGTGTGATTGTAACCCTTTGTACTCTCCTTGAATTAGTGAAATCTCCCCATCCTCTCCCCGTGGACGTAGGCAAGTTGCCGAACCACGTTTATCTCTGTGTTTGATTTGATTTGTCGTATTTGTCTTGGTTTGTGCAAGAGTGTGGCTTTCTTCTTCCGTGATCTCAAGTTCGTTGTGTGTGCGTGCAACGCTTCCGCATAGGTTAATATGAAATTGGAATTGAGATGGTATTATCCTGTAGGTAAAAAAATATGTGTCAGAAACTAAGAAAACAATATGAAAATTATTACGATTTGATCATAATTAGAATATTTAATCAATAATAGTTCTGATAATAGTTCCGATAATTTGTTAATCTAAATAGTTCTGATAATCTTCCGATAATAATCTGATAATAGTTATGATAAATAGTTCTCTTATTATAATAATCTGTTATTATCATAATTTGTTATGTTTCCTCTTTTGTGTATAAGGTTGTCTTGTCTTACAGTAGGACTTTTAAGTTTGTTTTTTTATTTCATATAATTCATAATCCTTTATTTTGTTCATGTTTTTTTACTGTGTATATCATTCTAGGACTTAGTGATCGACTATTAGCTTGAACTTGAGTTGTGATGTTGACTATATGGTTTTCAGGCATTGTGTTGTAAGCTGAAATAACTCCCTCCAGTATTTGTTTGTCAATTAGATAGTTTCTGCTTAGTTTTCTTACACTTTCTCTCTGATTATTACTGTTTTTCACTTTTTTGTTTTTAGTTATTTTGTTCTACTACTACCATTACTACTATCCTTTTGTCTCCTGGATGTTTTATTATGTTGCTCCATCATCATTTGCTCGCGATTCTATGGAGGTTCTTTATCTGCTTGTCATCTAGCATCAAGTTTTGATCAGGATACATTCTTTTCACGTAATTTCCTTGACAACCAAACTGGATGGTCACGATGGCAGCTGCTTGTAGTTTGGTTAATATTTCATCTTTTTAATTTAGAGCTTGCGCTCTACAACAACTGGCCATGGGTAAACATTATTTGGACATTTTGCATTAAATATACATGTTATTTGTATCATTTTGCAGCAAGTCATAGTTCTGATAAGAAGATTATTCTATAAATTATGTTGGTCAATGCATTGGTACAAAATATTTGAACTTATTACTTATATAATGAGGATCTTTGAACTTATATTTTTATGTTTTGAACTGATAGAGATTTATGGTTCTTAATGCAGATTTATTTGCAATTTGTGTTCATTTCGTAAGCAGGTTGACAATGGCTGATCTGTTTCTGTTGGCTACTTCTGCCATCATCTATTGATCGTATGCACTATGCATGCACGTGAACAATCATTTAATGGAAGAAGAACTTGCGAGGGATGTAGAATTGACAAAACAAATATAAAAGGGACTAAATATTACTCAAGCCATGGTACACAAAAATAGAAACTAATTAAAAGCATGCAAAGAAAAAAAAGGAAAAGTATATGTTTTCTATTTCGGTTTATTTAATTAAAATGCATAATCAAATAAATCTATATTAAAATAATAGCAAACATGAAAATTTACCTTGATGTGGAAACCTGCAACAATCAAATCTTTAATTAATCTTCTAAATTCTGCATGAAAAATTAAAAATTGAATAAATTTTAAAATAATATCAATTGCCATAAAAAGTAATTGTAGTGTCGAACAAGTGTCACTCTTAAATCAAATACACAAAATTTCTATAGAATAATCATGGAAAAAAAACTTACATGTTGAAGGAGAGATGGAGTTACTATAAAAATTATGTAATTTCTTGGTTTATATATAGGCATGAGGTATTGCATGTGATAGGATAATAGTCATAATTAGAGTTTTATTATGATTTGAATTGTGTCACAATCAAACGGGGATTTGTAATATACAGCAAGCGTTCAAATCTACACCGTTCTGCGCTTTGTTATGAATGTAGCTTGTTTTCAATGTGGCTACAGATAAGAATGTGAAATTGAATATTTAATCAATATTTATATGCAGCAGGCGTTCATATCTACACTGTTCGGGGATTTGCTTTCAAATGCAGTTTGATTTCAATGCAGTTCGATTTCAATGCGGCTACAGATAAGATAAGAATGTGAAATTGAATATTTAATCATAATTTATATGCAGCAGATTGATTGTCAATCATAAGTAATATAAATGATGTAATAGCAACAGATTGATTGTCAATCGGGGATTTGTTTTCAATGCGTGCAGCTTGTTTTCAATGCGGCTACAGATAAGATAAAAATGTGACATTGAATATTTATAATCAATATTTATATGCAGCAGGCGTTCACATCTACATCGTTCGGATCTGGAATAAATAATTAAATTTAATTCAAAAATTAGAATTTGATTATAGATAGGATAGTTCAAACTTTACAGGGGTATTTTTATCTACAGAAAGATTTTTCGAACTCGTGCTTTTAAAGGGAGTATGATATGATATTATATATTAGTCCCCTAATTCTTCTTATTTTGACCGTGATCAGAATTTCTAACTTTTTAGCAAATCTTTTTAAATTTCTCCCACTGATAACTTGGGTTTTTTCATATTAGTCGTGTAAATCTCAAGTGTTTTAAAATTAGTCTCCTAATTCTTCATATTTTGAAATTAGTCTTCAAAATATTTTTAAATAGTTTGAGGTTAGTCCTGGGGCTATTGCTTAATATGAAAGACTTTTCGTTTTATCCTTACGAAGCTAGCTGATAATTTCAATGCTCATTCGCATAAAGAGCCCAAACAAAATCAGCTCCAATTTTTCTAGCTATAATATCGGCATCCTTGTAAAATGTTTCAGTTAGAATTTTATTGATGATCAAAAATATGTTTGTATCTATTTTGACCTAGTCTTATGAATATCTTTGAATGAAAAATCATATAAATTTGGTTTGAAATAAATATTCTTCTTTTATGAAATAAATATGAGGGTACTTATGTAACTTGGCCCCCCAAGATAAATTTTCTGGCTACGCCATTATATGCTACACTTGTTTTTTAATTGCTTCATTGTTTTTTTAATTGTCCAATAGTTTGAGCTTTAGAAAATGTGGGACATGGAGAATAATAGGGAGTAATTTATGCATAGTGCAAACTTCTTGCTTACACTAAAATATATATAAATGAATCATGTTCGTCCTTGTTTACGACTTCAGAGATGACTTTTAATACGCCTTTTCTTCATTAATTAAAGGAGAAATTTTTGGGACCGGGTTCAAAATTTTATTAGTAAAATCAACTCTTTTATAAAATATTAGCTATAATTTTTTATCATGCCATCATGGCTATCCAAAAGACAGTTAATCTTGAAAAATATAATTTTTAAAATATACAGGATTAGTAGTCTCATATATAGAGTTCATTACTCACAAACTAATTGTCCTGTGTATTTTAAAAGAAAGTGATAGCTAGATACATAGGACTAATAGTCTCATGTATGTTAAAGACTAAAGTTTATAAAAACCGACATCTTTTTGGCCAGTTGTGATGACATGGCCACAAAGATATCGATTTTGCTCATTATTTTATAAAAGGATTGATTTTAATATTTTTTAAATGGTCTTTTGAATTAAACTAAATCCTCAATGAGGGGCATGCTCCAATGCATATTAGAAGAGACGTTGACATTTTATCTAATATTTTTTTCTTTTAATAGAAAACAAGTATTTTTACGGGCCGACAGATCTTACATATAGAATGAATAATATTTATTGGGTAGCAAGAATTGGACACACATCATTAGCTTGGAAAATGCTAGGTGTTTATTTTTATCTCTCATCTGTATGGTCTGTACGAAAGTTCTTTTTTTGGTTATACGCACGTGTTTCTAAATTGAATTGAACAAAATTTGTTTTGAATTGTGCTTCTTCTTTTATACTTTTATATAGACTCTACTTTTTACGAATATGAGCATGTAACTGACTTATACCATTTACAGCATACAGATTATTGAAAATTAGATAACTAATTCGAGTGTTTAACAAGAATATGAGCATGTAAATGACTTATACCACTTACAGCATACAGATTATTGAAAATTAGATAACTAATTCGAGTGTTTAACAACAACCGGACTCCTGACAATGTGCTCGCCGGAAACCCATGAGAACTGTCCCTGCGTGTATTGTTCACTCGGGGAGCTTCCTTTCTTGCTGAACTTCACAGTAAAAGTTTTAGATTCTTTTGGAGATGAAAAATGAAGTTCCTTCGGCTCGATTTCCATGACCGTTCCTTCAGGGTCACTGCTATCTTTTAGCTTATAAACCGCTGGGCCCTTCTCCTCCACAAACGTCACGGTTCGACTTATCGTCTTGGCAGACGACGAAGCTAAAGATACCATGACCGACGGATAATTCAATTCTTCCGGAGTTATTTTCTGAAGTTTATAACATTGTGGATCGCGTTTGATGATTTTTTTGATATTATTAGCATTGCTGTACAAGCCGCACAGGTAGCGAACGTAATCCTCAGGATCGACGTCGTAGACGAGTCCCGGGTCCATCGCTCTAGAGGGATTCACATGACCTGCACCCATCGCAAAGTAAGTGGCTGTTTCCAGGGAGTTGGATTGCTCGTCAACAATAGGCAATCCATCACGGTCTAGTACGTCAGCAGTAGTCATGATTGCCGATTTAATAGCAGCCGGCGACCAATCGTTATGGATGCTTTTGATCAGCGCTGCGATTCCAGCAAGATGAGGTGTTGCCATCGAACAACCGCTCGCAAAATTGAATGCGGACTCTGAAGGGGCGGAAGAGTCAGGCCCGACGTCAAAAGCCCAACCCGATAGAATGTCTGAACCAGGGCCGATGATATCCGGCTTCAGTATTCCGCCGTTTATCGTGCTTGGCCCTCTAGAAGAAAAGTCGGTCACCGCGGGTGCCCGCCGCTTGTGAAACTGCGTGCCTTGGAAAACTAACCGTGCTTTAGGATTTGCTTCGGTTTTGGCATAATTGACGATCTTTAGGGAGTCGACGTGGCTTAAGTGAGCGGCGGGAAGGACGTGGGCCTCAGC